ACACTTATAATGCATGACTGACCAATGAGTCAGGAAACCTACGCTGATTGTAGGTGGATCTGTCTCCATTGCTTCACAACTGTTCTCCATTTATAGCGTTCAGATTATTCTGAGTACGTCAGGATAAATAAGGCATTTAGCAACATTGTGATAGAGGTCATGTGAGAAACCTGCAATGTAAAATCATATCAATTCAGAGCAGTGTTTAAGACCCTTTCCTCTGATCTTAAGAACGCTTCCTTCTCCACATCCGCTTTGTTTGTGAATATGAATCTATTCATATTCTAATCTGTTTTCTGTTCTTGACTGTGGGAAGGAGGAAGTAAAGGAGCAAAATGTTTAACTCATACGTAAGATTTCTACACAGAGTAGAGACACGGACTTGAAGAAAGAGTTGGGGACAAAAAGTCAAAGTCAGGATTGGGGACAAAATCCTTTCAGGCATTCCACAGATTGGGAAGTGAGTTTGAAAACAAACAAACTTATCCAAAAGCTGCGGGGCGTGGGCACACGTCCAAAAGCCAAAGAACAAAACAGCGTCGAAAACAATGAGGACTTACACTGGGAGAATAATGGGAAACTCAAAGATGGACAAAGATAATGGAAAATAAACCAAAAAAACCAAAACAAATAAGAACAGACTGTATTCAGGTCACAGAGGCTAAGCTTAACTTCTGCTCTGTGACCCTGAAGAGGCTTCAGTTTGGACATTTTTGGCCTTTTCACTCATGGAAATGTGGTTATGTGACTCCAACACATCAGAACCACAAGCTAAATTATTTAGCCACAAAACTTTAGGTGCTTTGATAAATGTCCTTCGCAAAAATGTATCAAAACACTTGACGACCAAGAAACGTACACGGATACTCTGCGGTTATGTGTCGGCGTACAAAATGTTCTTTTAATAATTAGAAAATTGAGTCTGTTCAGAGAAGAGCTTCGTTATGAGATTTCTGTTATGTTTCTTGTTCTGTGCTTCCAGAGGAACAAGTGGATAAGAAGAGGTAGCAAAAGAACAGAACAGCACTGACAAGGCTGAAAACACCAACAATATGTCTTTAACCCTCTGAAAAGGGACACAAACGATAGAGTTCATGTGGGTAACCTGCAATGTAAAGGTTTCTCACACTCGACGCCTCCTCAAAAGCTCACGTGTGGCACTTGACCAACTTGATGTACGAGAGGCTATAATCTCCAAAGAGCTCAAAATTAGCTAAATTGATGTGGAACCATCTACAGCAAAGAAACTATCCGAAACGTCACCACGTAACCTCAGTTTAAGAAACGCAAAAGTATTCCGGGGGTTTACGGATGTAACGCTTTCCTCCACGTTATTCAGAGGCGCGGGGGAATGAGGAGACGTTTGGAAATGACGTAGCACTTGGACGCAAACGATCACTTTCTCTGAGATTTCCAGCATTGTTACAATGTGCGTAGGCTTAGTAAAAGACCCCGCTTGTTTCTTACTCACACTCGACTGACTAACATTGGCTACAATGTCTCTACTCCTGGCTGCCTCCGAGGCCCCGTCTGCGTCTGTAAAAACAGTCAGGGGCGTCTCACGCACGTCATCAGCGGTGCCGCAGAGGCCGCTGATGAAAAACGGTGGCAACGTTATGCCTTTTCTGCCTGCGTCGCATGAAAGGAGCCATTAGTCAGTCTTAAAGAGACACATCGTCTCTCTCTGGAGCTATTAATAGCCACACAGGCTGCCTTTTTCTGCTTCTTTTTTTTTCTATGTAGAAAAGCTGACCACCGAGCATTTTGAGGTGAGCCCAGAAAAAAAAAATAAATAAAATTCCCCTTTCTCTGCTCATTTCCTCCCCACCCTGGATTCTGAAAGAAAGCCGTACGCTGTGACAAATAGCTCACCAGGGTTATTTTTAGCTTCGAGCGACCAGAGCCTCCTATTTATGCTGCAATATGTGCCCAGAATCGGCACATTGCAAGGGAAAGGAGTGAGGGAGACGTATTAGGTAGACAGCGCACTGAACCTCAACCGGGTTAGCATACCTGATGACGTAAGACATATCCGAACTGTGAATCACCCTGCAATTATTAGGCTACAGCAGATTTCACACGCGAAACATTTTACACTTTAATGTAATGATTACACAGGGAAAGTGAGCTTCGGTGTTTTAATGAAATAATGTACAATTTAGAAATAAAACAAAGTTCATTGGTCGTTTAGATTGCAGTTTTTAAAAATTTAAACCAAATCATATCATCATACTTTCGATCAGTGATGTAAAGTTAAAGTTTAGATGGAATAGAAATTATGTTTATTTTTGGCTCCATGAGCAAACTTATGCAATTTTAGAGAAAAGGACAACTTTTGATGAAGTGTGGAAGATAAAGACGGCTGCACAAACCACTACTGAAACTGGTTGATTTTTTTATTTTTATTTGTAAATTATAGGGATAGATATTGTCTAGAGAAGAGAAATCTACGTTTGTTTCAGTGTTTACTTAAGATAGCTTCAAAATAAATAATAGTAACTTGCCTGTTACTTGTTAAAAACACACTTACAAAAAAAAAAACTGAACAAAGCTGCAATACTAAAATAAAAGACAAACTGTACCAGCACACGTACAGCTATTGTGTCAAGCATGCAATGCATTCAGTTTTTTTTTAAATAGAATATGTATTTCTTTATTTCTAAGGTAAAACCTGAACTTGTTGTCATCAAAGCTGAGTGACAAAAACACTAAAAACTGGAAAAGGGAAGTCAAGTTCCTCTTAGTTAAGTTGACTCATTCCTAATGTGAACTGAATCATGTTTTAATCCCATGCAGACGAATTGGTCAATAGGTGATGTTTGTGCCATTTTGGTGTGATTGGGTCAGACTAACAAACATTTTTTTAACTTTGGATCTCATGGAAGGAAGTCATGAATGTTCATGTAGAATGAAAACCCAATCCGTGTATGATCACAGTTTGTTTCAATAATCTAAATTCACATGGCAGATTTCTGGGGAAGAAAAAACATTTGAACAACATTCTCATTTTGTTCCTGTGTGGTGAATAATCCACCAAGAAAAGTCAAAAGCAGTAAACTATAAACATTATAGCATGAACTGAGTTGATAAAATGTTCTCGTTCAAACAGCAGTCGGCTCACAGTTCCTCTAGTGTATCTCTGTAGTTGCCCCTAGTGCTGCTCTTGGGTTTGTCTGCAATTGTGTAAAAATAATGAGATCATCCTCATTTTTGGTTCTGGGGGATTCACAGTTTGATGACATATACACAATGTTTGTCATCATTCCTGCCTGTTTCACCAAACTTGTGATTAAACCTTTTCCAAAACCTTTTCTAAAACACTCAAACAGTAACGTATGGTGAATTAAAAAAGCAAAGTATGAGCGATGCTTGAATTTATTCACTGTGAAATATAGAAAAACCCAAAGAATTTGTGAAAGTGAGTAACATCTTTTTTTTTTACTGTATTATTAACATACAGAAACGCAGACAAATGTCATCTTCAACAAATATTTATATATATAATTTGGGTCTAATTCTCAACAAAAGTCTCTGTCATTATGAGTTATTTATTACACTCATGTTGCCTCAGAAAACAAGCTGCTTGTCAAAACTAAATTTGACCACTACGCCCCCTACAGGCAATAAGTGTTACTCTGTCCTTACAGTAAAGACTTGGAGTTAAAATGAGGTTCTGAGTTCTTGGAGTTAGTACCTCACCTGCAGTATATAACTCCTCTGGTGTCTTCATCCAGTGTAAATCTGGATTAACTGGATCTGCCAGATAAAGCTAACGTTTATCCGAACACCTTTCAAGTTGACCATTTGGTTTTGGAGTGGTCCAGTCAGAGTTCGACAGCTTTAATCTCATAGGGAATCTGGAGAGAGCTGTAGATTAGGATGATGGGAAAGAGATCTTTCAGTCCCAAATATTTGACATCATCATCATATAATCTCAAAAATATCTGAGATTTGCAAAAAAAAAAAAAAAACTTTATTATTCAGGGGTTGCCTGCTGAAATGCTACTAATTACCTCAAATATTTTGACATGCCATCTTCAATGAAATGTAAAAAAAAAAGACCCATTTTTTTTTTACATTAATACTTGTTTTATATGTTTCAATGTCCTTTGAGAGATGTTCGTGTCATTACTTGCCACATACAGTTTTCAATCTATATCTGCCAGGTGTGGGGATACGTTTGGGATTAATTGTATGTGAACTGAGTGGAAATTCAAGAGTACCAGCAGCGCAGCCACAGGCAAGTCAGAGCATGTAGATTTACACAATGATAAAAATAATAAAACAGAGACCAAGAACAACAGTCGACAGGAAGAGTAAGTTTATAGCATAAGAAAATACTGTACAGTTATTAAAAATCTGACTCTAAAAAATATGAACCTGAGTAGGAAAGTAAGAAATTGCAGTTGTTCAAAGATAAAAACAAAACAAAAAAAAAACAGACTATTTACAAGAAGTGGGGAAAAAACTGCAAATAACAGCAGGAAATGTTATTTGAAATGAGAAAAACAGCAGAAGTGTAAACATTTACTGAGTTTTTGCCTGTCGGGAGCAACAGCTGCTGGGAGGAGGGATTTATAATCCAGCAGATTGACACTGACAGAGCTCTCTAGTTCAGCAACAGCTGACAGATTGGGGTTATTTTTGTTCTCCTAAACAAATTTAGATATGACATTTAAAAAAAAAAACTTTCACAATTTCCAGTTTTATGTCCTGATAGATGCTCTCTATGGACATTTACTACTTTTTTGTGCATTAATTCTTTTTCTTCGATTAGTTAAACCGGGCTGCAGCACCACCTAGAGGATCAAAGTGAGCACTGCAAGAGGAAGAGACGGCATGGTTTAAGTAACTGCGTAGAGGGGGGGTATTAGTATTGGGGTGTTTTTAAAAGAAATATCTTGCCCTTTAAACAATTTCCTTTACTATTTCAGAGTAAAGGGGGGAGAAAAAAATCACAGTAATAGTGAATAACCGCCTGATAATAAAGGTTCAAGCAGGAGCAGGAATTCATTGCGTGTTGTTTCGGACTATGCTTCATTAATACAAAAGAAGAAGAAGAAATAAATCTAGTTCTGATGAGGACGAGCATCTTTTAGTGTGAAAGTGGGGGACTGCTTCTTCCTCCAGCCGCCTCCTTCCTGCGGGGCGGGGAGGGCGCTATCGGTTCCGTCTCCAGCCTGCTACGGAGGTCGAGCAGTGGACGGCGGGTCAAAGTCAAACTCTTCCCAGTTAAATCCCGCCTGAGCAGCAGCAGCAGCAGCAGCAGCAGCAGCTCGGCGCATCCATCTGCGGACATGGACTTCTCCATCAGAGCGGCGAACGTGGAGGACTGCAAGGACATCGCGCGGATGATCAGGGTGAGCAAGGCACGTGCGCACGTGCGGACCGAGCGGCGTAATTACTCCGGCTTACGTCAGGAGATGCGTTTTTGTAAACCAGCCGGTGGTATTGTTTTATTAAGCTTGTAAATGCTAGTTTTGTTTTTGTTTCCCTGGTTGTGACCACGGCTGGTTGGCGCTCTGGGGTTGTGCTGCCAGCAGGCTTCATGTGAGCTGAAAGACCTGAAAAGACGCGTACGATGATGTCAACTGATGTAAACATTTGTTTCCCCTTCCCAGGAGCTGGCAGAGTACGAGAAGATGGCTGATCATGTTAAAGTCACACAGAGAGGTAATTACATTAGCGGTTTTACAGTGACAGCCATCTTTTTATGTAATTGGTGTATGGAAGAATGTCCCAGGTGGTGCCAGTTTACCGGGCCTCACTAAATCAAAAATAAGTTACTTCTGAAAACTTTTTTTTAAGACTCCTATGAATATCTAATTATCAACCAATAAGAAGAGAAAACATCAAAAATAACAATTAAAATAATCAAAATAAGAGAATTAATCATCCAGATGCTGAGGTTGTTTGCTGTCAGAGGTCACATGGTGTTTCTCCAGCTAATGGAAAGGAATAAATTGTCTGATATCAATATTAATGTGGATTAACAGGCAGCTGGAGTATTTAGCAGTGAAGGAAACGACTGATGGAAAGCCATAAAGCTGATCTGTTACAAACACATCATCGATGTTCATGAACTCTATTTAAACAGAGCCAGTATCTCAACAGTGCATTTGTATCACTTTAACTGTTTTCCACATTGGTCCTGTTATGAGCATAAAAACCTGAAAAGTGTGGAGTGCATTTTCAGACGGTGACTTCTGAAGGGAGTGACTGTGTTTTGAGTATGTTTAGGGGAACCGTAGTAAATGGAGCTAAATAAAAATACATGCTAATTTAAAAAAGCAAGAGCAAAAACAGGAAAGTCATTTATAATTTTCCTTCTGTTTTATAAGTTACATACAAAGTTTCTGACTGGAACGTGACAAAATGTATAAACGGCATTTTAAGCACGTTTTCAAGGTGTTGCGTCCTTTTTTATTACCCGACGACAACATTCAGATTTAAAATTGCAGTGAATAAGCAGGATTTATCGCCCTTCACTTGAGAAAACACAGTCACAGATTTCTCACATTCAGGCCTCTCTTTGTCAACTTCTCCCAGACTTGGAGCAGGACGGCTTCTCCAAGAATCCGTTCTTTCACGGCATTGTCGCCGAGGTGCCAGAACAGCACAGAACCAAAGAAGGTGAGAACAAGTGTCCTCTAATAGCAGAGCGGACCTGATACGGGAGCATGAGGGGAGGTTTGCTTCATTTCTCGGTGCTCTTAACGTAATGTAGCAGGATGCTGCTGATGCGTCCTCTCCCTTTATTCACCTCTTACGTAATAAAGCTGATGCACTGCTTCCTCCGTGTGCAGTAATGAGCTCATTAGTACATGCTCTGCTGCTCAGCTCGACCTTTTTCCATGCAGTCATCACTGATCACCCTCCGCTGGACTCGGATGTCTGACTGAGCAGTCAGGAGGGGCAGCAATGCATGCTTCTGCGTTAGATACTCCCAAGACTCTGACACAGATACTGTTGCTGCATACAGTCATGGGAAGAAGAAAGTGCACCCTCTGTTTCTGATTCTGACGTTTTAACGTGTGAAGGATCTACACCAGGGATGTTCAAAATGTGACCTGGGGAAACATTTGTGGACAGATTTTGTGTGTTTCATGTAAATGTCAAGAAATCTTATTATTAGGATAGGAAGCAGAAAGGGATTGAGATAAAGCTCACTATCGGGGGCTTGGTTAATTAAGAATAAGGGAAAATAAGTGCCAAAAACTCAGAGAGCAGAGTTTGAATGTAAAGAAATCCCTGAACACGTTTAACGTTTCGCTTTCAGGACATACGAAGATTGGCTATGCACTTTACTTCTACTCCTACAGCTCCTGGGCAGGAAGAGCCATTTACATGGAGGACTTGTACGTGATGCCAGAATTTCGAGGTAAATAATTTTCTTCATTGATTGTTGTTGATAATATAGCCATATGCACCAATATATCTTAATTCTAATCTCTGTCCTTTAAGGGAAGGGAATCGGAAAAGCACTTATGAGCAAGGTAGCACAGGTGAGCGACATCGATGCATCGTTAAAAAAAGAAACGTAAAAAAAAGAAAGTGCTAATGTTTAACTAATGTCTTCTGGTGTCCTACAGCTGGGTCTGGCCGCTGGGTGCAATCAGCTCAACTTTACGGTTCTGGACTGGAACAAGTCATCTGTGGACTTTTACCTCAGCCAGGGCTGCTTCGATGTCACAGATAAAATAGGCTACCACTGCATGCGCTGCGAGGGTGAGGCACTAGAGCACCTGGCACAGCCTTAACCCCGACGCTGCGACTTTTGAAAACCAGGAAGTCGGTCCGGGCGACGCAGAGCTTCACTTTACGGTCCATTGTTTAAAACGTCATGATGGTTTGTAAATCAGTGGCTTTTTCTTGCCAAACCTTTTGCACCTTAAGTTATTAATTATTTATCCGTCGGACCTTAAAGCCATTTTTTTTACAGCTCGAATTACCCATGAAAATTATGCAAAAATATCCAAATGAATTTTTTTTTCATTGTTTTGTATAAATAATAAAAATCAGGGCAGCCTTTTTAAAATTTCATCCCACAACTGTATTTTTATGGTAGTTTTTAGTAGAAAATCTGTTTTTAATCAAGCTCGACATTATACCCTATTAAAGCTACACAGCAATACTTGGAAGATATTGGCAGAATAATCCATCATAAAACAATATAGTAGATTCAATGTAAAATCAGTTTTACTCAGAAGTGTAGATGAACGCTTGTATGCACAAAAATCCAGGTGTCTAGATGCAGAAATCACATTTAATGCCATGGGAAGAAAAGGTAACACTTTATTTGACGGGTTGTGCATCAGACTTACATGTTCCTAAACACGATGTAACATCTGTCATGAACATGAAGGAGTCTTCATGAATGCTTACGACTGTTGTCATGAAGTGTCATTCGGTAAGTTATGACACTTTTGATGCAAAGTTGACCATTTTAATGGACTTTTAATACAACTTTTAAATTACATCTCGCCTCCTCCTTGTATGCACACTGTGTTAGCTAAAATTAATTCAACTAAAAATCCAAAAGCATTCAACACATCCTGAAAGAGCTTTTATCCTCCGCTGCCGTTCCAACATCTGGATTCATCAGAATAAACCTAAAGCCGTCTGCTTCAGAAATTTGCTGTCGCTGATTGGGATTATTTTTAGAGCAACAATTTAGCACCACATTACTTATTAAAATGCATTAAATCATGCATGAATATAAAAGCACAAAGACTTTGTCGAGAGCCACTTGCCATTTTGTCAAACACTACATCACCTCAAACAAGAGGATCGAGCGTTTTAGTAATAAAAAACACAAAACAAAACCTGCTCTAAAATAACTGCGCTACGTTTTTATGTGTTAGTAGACCCTAAAGTCATTATGGTGAACCATTACTGCCATTTCCTCGATTGAACTCCGTAATGGTTGCCCACTGCTGTCGTTGTGGGCCGGTAATTGGCAGCGTTGGTGTTCATAGTTGTCACTTGGCAGCAGAGCTTCTGGAAAACCATCACCTGAAGGGCAAAACAACAAAGCAGCACTAATCTGCCCTTCAGCCATCCTCTCAAAATTCAGCTTCCAGATCCACTAATCAACACAAACAGAGGTCTGGAGGGAGTTTTTAAAGGCTTCCTGTGGAAAAAGAAACTCGCCATTTAGTGTAAATGCTGGTCATGTTTTTTTTATTGTTTAGGCTTTTTTTTTTTTTCGTATTAAAATTTTTTGATAAAGTGCTTTTATTGGTACAGTTTTATGCCACGAAACTTGTTTACTGAGTTTATGGTTTACTGCTAATGTTGGCTCCTTTAATCTGTAACTCGTTTATTACGTGTCGGTGATTGGAAAAGTACGCGGTCGCTTTAGGGCATGACATTAATGTACCAGATCAACGCTACTGTAAAGGCCCATGCGAGTAAAACCTATGTGTTGGAGACACACCCAACATTATCCAGCTAAAGTGAGACCTGGCAAAGGTCAAGGTGCTTAATTGGCACACCTGGTGAAGATTTTTAATGGCCGCGATGCTAAAATTCACATAATGGCAGAGACTTATAACAAAAAGGCAAAAGTGAGATAACCATAGCTGATATTGACATCAAAATTTTCAGTAATAGTATCGTGGTTATGTGTTTTTTTTTGTTTTTTTTTGGCTATTGTTGTACCCCTGGTCCAGATTAAATGTACTGTTAAAAACTGCCATCCTGGCGGCATTGAAACATGAAAAATGTAAAGATGAAAATATTTAATATATATATATTTAATTTCCCTTTGGGATCAATAAAGTATTTTCGAATTCTCCGAACGTCGAACTGTAGCTCTGAGAAAGACACGGCCTCTTTCAGCGATCCAGAGTCTTCAGTGTTTGTTGTTTGTCTCGATATCTCAGTTTTCCTCGAGACGTCGAGGAAAACCAAGATGAGAGGCATCTCGACTTTGATGCAGGTGGAAACTTTTTCTTCCTGCAGTTTTTCCTGCTGTACGCAAACTCTCCGTCGTTATAGAGCGATTACGTTGCCGACCGAAGACGGTCAGATGTCTGAAAACTATAACTGCTCTGGCTGACAGCTAAAGTTTTCCATCCTGCCTTTGCTGTACTTCGACTCGGTTCTGATTGGATAAAACCCGAGCGAGATCAGAGGGATTTTTTTAATTAGTCTTTCTGCAGGAGCGCTGAACCTCCTTCTGTCCTTCTGGCCAAAAGAAGGCTGCTTCACGCTTCCATTGCTCACCGCACTAATTTGGCTGCTTGGCAATATTTCCAGTCATAAAAATGTTTAGTTATGTTGTCCAAACTAGACCGCCCATCGGTCTTATTAGCATAGATTTGGTTTTACGGTATTCTAATCCTCGCGATGAATCCTGTGGATAACTCTTACTAATCAAGTTGGGATTTGGGGGGAGAAAAGTCTAAAAATAGGATCCTGATTCCTAAAGAGGTGTGTGTATCTTACATATATCTTAACTTATCTGTTGCTAAGCCAGCGGATGATGAGTCTACCGTTTGACCACGGCTGATATTCACTCCGTCGTGTTCTTTGTGCACTGAAGGAATCGTTTAGAGCTCACAGCTTCTCCTATGCAGCCAAACTCGGGGTGCAGCTTTCAGAGAAATGGATGAAGCCCAAATTCAAACCAAAACAATCCACTCAGTGGAATTTGGGGAGGTGGGGGGGAGAGAAAAAAACCCCATAAAGCTTGAAAAGTGGGCTCCTTGCACAACTTTAAGCTTGTCATGCTTAAATGAAAGTGGCATTATTCTGGTCTGAACCACGAGTTTCTCTCTTGTTTTTTTTTTTCTTTTTCGTACGGTCTTCTGCAGTTTAATGAAGATATGCTAAGTTTTATTTGCATTGTTTCTGTTCCACTCAGACGAGTAAAAACCACTGACCCTTCTTTGCAGCGCTTGCATTTTGGCATGGAAATGTATCCAGGAATGCATTTCATAGGCCATTATTCTGCTGCTGCTGCTGCAAACTGCAAGGCGCAAAGACTGAGGGAGCACGAGAGATTTTGATTCTTTTACAGCGTGCAACTTCCTGTCAACGTGAGTCCGTGAGTGCAAATTACACAAATAAAAAATTTTAAAAAAAATCAGTTTCTTCCTAATGCACCTGCAATAAATCCCAGAGGTGGAACGTTGCCGGTGTTTGTTCAGGTTTACGTCGTGTAGCCGTGTGTTCGAGTAACCACTATGCAGTGTATCTGTCAGGATAAGTGGATGAAACATCCGTGTTTGTGCGTCTTGGCGTTCAGAAAAGGACGTCGGCGCGTTGTGTACCCGCTCCAAATTCAGTGTCGAAGTGACCTCTATGTGTGATTTCACTGCGTGCAAAATCATTTTAACATGCGTTTGATTTAATAGTAGGTTAGAGGGAGGCCTGGCGGGAACGTGTGTCTAAAGCCGACACTGTGGCGCTCAGGCTTGAACTGAGTCTTGACTGGGTTTTTGTTTTAATGAGGTGAAACACAGAGCATTAAAAACTGAAAATATACATATTCTTCCTTTCCTGGAGCCATCAAACTGTTGTGATTTTACCAAAACACTACATTGTATTCAGTTATGTGGTTGTACAAGAGGGGAAAAAAATGTTTGTTTTAGAAGTATTTAGCAGGCTTTGCGTGATGAACGGGTCTTGTAATCAGTCTGTGTGTTTTTATTTCCTGCGTGTGTTGGACGTCTCTGCTCGGTGATCAAAGAAATAAAAACTTACACACAGCACCTCAGGATGTGCACGTTCACAGTTGCTCACTTTGTGGTTTTTCTTCTTGAGTAGGTGATTTTCTCATTTTGAGAAAAAAAAAGATTAAAAAAGTGCAGTAACTGAAGAAAGTGTATCTTAAATAAAACTGTTGTCACATTCAACCTACAGAGGGCACACTAACACCATCAGTTCCTTTAAACCTCATGCTGCCTTACAGAGCTGCCATTGCCAAGGTTAATAGTTTGCATACAGGAATGTTAATATTATTTTATCACAGCATCATAATCTGAAAACTTTAGAAAAAAAATCTACCTCCAGTTTGAGATCAATTTGAATTCAGTTATTCAGTGTGGGGGGAAAAATGTTTAGAAAGAATAGTTAACTATTGTTTTTCTGCTCCAGCCTATTAAAATGTCATCAAAGAACTAAGGATGTTAAAGGAAAACAGTAAACTTAGCAACAAATAAACACACAATTTGACATGTCTTCGTCCCAGAGCCATCAAAGCTTTCCCCAAGCATGACACTTCCTCTACCGTTCTACAAAGCCAGAAGGAAGTTTGGGACCTGGAAACCCGTCTGTTGAGACAAATAAATTCGGTCCCCAGTGGTTGTTATTCAAGCCGAGGAGTGATTTTGTGACACTTTTGGATCTTTACTCAGATGCGTTTTTAAAGTAGAGTTTCTTCTTTTCATGTGTTTGATTTCGCTCAGATGAAGAAAAAGAAAAAAAAAACCCACTGATTTATGAGACCGTATCTGTGGAGGTTACGGATTGAATATTTCCCCGTCAAAGTAAAACCAAAGGGGATCAAACTAAACATTTTTCAAAGGAAGCTTGCTTATATCTGCTCTTACTGTTTCTGACATTAATCAGCTGAAACATGAGCAAAAAAAAAAAAAAAAGTGGCAATGAGCCAATGCAGGAAGGGAAGAAAAATGCAATAAAAAAAAAATAAATAAAAAAAAAAACAGCAGGATTTTTCAGGTTGCGGGACAGAAAAAGGTGAAGGTAATTCATGGTGACTGCATAAGTTTTTCCAATTTAGTGGTTTCACTGCGATACCGATGCTGAAGAATCAGACCGAATATTCTACTTCTGTAGTTAGAAAACTAACCAGTGTGTTTTGTCTCTTTCTCTTAGTTAGAGCCAAATCATGAAGCTTTTCAGGGAGGTGTCAAGAAGACAATATATTTGATTTTATATCCGTTATGAGTTTTGTATCTGTGTATTGAAATTATTTTCAGTATATTTATAAAAAAAAGTTCATAAGTTTTTATTGCAGTTTGCCAGAGGCCTAGTATATGTGGAGGGAAACATGCTGTGCACCATTAACCACTGTGAAACATGGTGGTGGCAGTATTATGATGTGTGAGATGGGAGCTAAAAATACAAGAAAATCTTTTGAAAAGCTATCTTTTTGAAGAGGAATTTGCAAAAATGCTAATTGGACTTGTAGCTAAAATGAGTCTTCTTAGCTGTAGGTAGCTAAAAAAAGACTTACATAAGCTAACTGGGATTTTTTATTCGTCTATTTCAGAAAGTCCCAACAAAAAACAATTAATGTTTTGGTTATAGTGTCACAAAACGTGGAAAACCTGAAGAAATGTGCATACTTTTCTTTCATTGGTGCATTTTCCCCAACTCCTGAAACAACTCAACGTTAAAAAATATGGATTAAAAATAAAAATATATTCATATATTTTAAACACATTTAAAACATTCAGGTACATTTATTTTTTTGTTTGTGTCCCTTGTATAAGTTTGTCTTTCATGACTTTTTTCACCTGTTGATGAAGTGCAGACAAACTAAAACCCCTCCACAGAGTGCCTCTACAGCCGCCTGGTGGCCACAAGCGGTACTGTTGGCACACATAAATAAGGCAAGTCTCTTGATGAAAGTGATTTGACGGGCAGCAGAAGCTCCGGTCCGCCGCCTGTACCTTTTTCTTTACGCGCATGTAACCCCATGGCCGACCCGAGTCTATAGGGCCCTAAGCAGAATGTGGTTTTGGGGCCCTCTAGTTCTGCTAACATTGTGGACAGGTTGCAATCAGCAGTCTGAACATTAGATCATTCACACACCTGCTATAAACTTATTGCATGTCTAGCAGTGCTGTTTACATTATATACATATATAATATAAGATACATTTATTGGCCCACTGATTTATCAACCAGTTGATTTCTGGGTGCCATCCGTCCGTCCGTCCGTCCGTCCGTCCGTCCGTCCGTCCGTCCGTCCGTCCATCCATCCATCCATCCATTCATTTTCTTACACCCTTGTCCCTTAGTGGGGTCAGAAGGTGCCTGGCTGCCTGGAGCCCCATGACCATGGGGACAGAGGAGACAGCGGCGGCTGAAGGCAGGCTGGCAGCGAGAGGCAAAGAGTCAGCAGCGGCGGCGAGAAGTGAAGATTTTGCAGCAAGTACCCCTTTGTCTTAAAGGGGAAAAGGTAGCTGCATTGTCTATTTTATATATATATATCCATTTTTCATCAAGCTGTGTTTGCACCTGTTTCAGTTGATTTCCACTCAAGTTTCCCCCTTTAGGAAAGTCATAATTCTGTTTTCAGCATGTAAAACAGTCGTTGACATTTCTCTTTTTTGCCATTAGGTCATAAATATAACTGCTGGGCCCAGGATCAGACTGCTCCAAATTTTTCTTTGAAGTTCCGGAACCCATATTTTCAGTGAGGCGTCTCTCCACTGGCTTTCTTTCCTTCAAGGTGTAGAAATGCTAAAAACCACCCAGTATCTTCCGTTGGATAGTTATTTTGTTTCTTTAGGCAAGAAAAAACACAAACACCACTATCTTCCGATAATTACTTTCTTTACTTTCTCTCTCAGAGGTGAAAAAAGATTAAAAATACCCACTATCTACTACTTGGAGGAGATTTTAATGCAGTATGTGATGCCAAAATAGATAGAACGCCAGCAGAAATGGGGGGGACAAAGCAGGAAAACAAAAATATTCAATATGATAACCGAACTGGGACTGGGGGATCCATGGAGATTTAAAAACCCAAGCAAAAAGGATTTTACTTTCTTTTCTAAAGTTCATAATTGTTATTCAAGGATAGACTTCTTCTGCATTCCTCAAAAATACTTTTATAAAATAATTGACTACAACGTTGAATCAATGACATTGAGTGACCATGGCCCAATTACTCTGCAGTTAAACCTAAGTAAAGACACCCGCTTTAGATACTGGAGACCAGGGGCGCGGTATAGGGGGGAAAGTGATGACAATTCTAGGGGCCCTGACCAACAGGAGGCCCCCCTCAACTTATTTATTTTTTGTTCATAGAAATT